TTCAAACTCACACGGCAACTTTACTTGGGCTACAAGCAAAGCTGGCTTGTCCGACTCTAGACAAGATTCGCTCTCATAGTCTTCACTCGAAGACATAGGTTTTGGTTAAGCATCACTTCAGTCATTCTGACTGGTTCTCTTGGACCCCACTTAACAGTACGGTGGTTCCTATGACTCAACAAAGAAGAAAAAGAACTACGAAAGATCTAAGTCGTCGAGCTCCATATGCTTCATGCGATGTCTTCTCTTGTCATAGTCTTCAATGTGAATACCTTCATATACCACCTTTGACCTCAATGTCTTCATACATTTTTAGAGGTCATCTCTGGTAGGAAAACCAAATCAATGAGGGACTTCTACCTGTGTTATCCTGCAATTCTCACAAACACATTAGTCCCTCAACTAGGGTTGTCGTTAATACTCCAAAACCAACTAGGGGTGGCACTAGATGCACTTACAGCCTCCCACACATACATAGCTCTTTTAGCTGCATGAAGTCAAGGGCCCCGCGGAATTTCCCAATGAGACGGCGATTGATGTTGGCGTTGCTCTTGTCCGCCGCTTTAGTGATCAGATTGAAATCCCCCAAAAGAAGCCACTGCCTTCCAGTCGTGGCAGAGAGAGCCCTCAACCCCTCAATGAATGCCACCTTGTCCGACTCACCCTGAGGACCATAGACGTAAGTGATGGTCCAAGCAATGCGATCATTTAGCATGGAGACAGAGGCGGAGATGGTGCCCGGCGTAGTCTGGCAGTCTGACAGCGCGAAGAAACGGTCTGACACGGCCAAGATCATTCCTCCTCTAGTGCCGGTTGCAGGCAAGACAAAGTAGTTGGCGGTGAATCAAGGGCCAAGCATCTCCCTGACAATGGAGTCGTCAACTAGTTGTAGCTTCGCCTCTTGGAGACAGACGATGGGGGTGTGGGAGTTGCGAACGATAACGCGAACGGCGTCATGGCGAGCGCGCGAGTTAAGTCCGCAGACGTTCCACCAGATGATTTTTACGTCAGATTGCGCCATATGGGAAACTTAAAAGTAGCACGGTGGATGTAGACTTCAGGAGGCGCCGAGGAAAAAGAATGAAACAGAGTGAAGTGCAGCTAGCAGACTTGAGCTTGGTGACACAATGCAGGGAAGATAGACGACCTCCGGTCACGATGATACATGGTTCTGGACAACTAAAACAAAGAGCAAGAAAGGAACGGTGATACATCATGCTCGCGGGATAGAAGCCCAACAAGCAACGGCAGCTAGGGAGCCTACACATTAGCGACCTGGGCAACAGCTTTTGCAACCTCATGGGCGGCCTTCTTCTTGTTCTTCTGCGCCTTCTTTTGGGTGATATCTTGGCGTGCGCTACCAGTCCAGCAGTAGCCTGGACCACGGGGGCCGCGAGCGGGGTGCTGAACATGTCGAGGTAGGCCTGCTTGGCCTTCTCGTCGTATCCAACAAACGGGTCCAGTACACCACAAACCTTGGCAATGAGCTCCTGGATCGCCTCCGTAGCAGCCCCGAGGGGGCTTTTGCCTTCTTTTTGTCGAGCCGGGCGCTACGACGAGCGGGCGCGACCGACACGCCCCCCTTGCTCCTACGGGTGGCCGGAGTAGACAGCAACGGGGCGGGCGGCTCCCCGGCAACGCTGGCGAGGAAAGACTCCAGGGGGTTCCCAATCGGAGGCACGTCCGTAGCAGCTGCCGGGGCAACAA